TTTCCCCCCCCCCATAGGACGCCCCCCTCCCCCCCCCCCCCCCCCCCGGCGTTTGCCATCGGGGTTGGGTTTTCATCGCTTGGCAACATTCTACTTGTAGAAAAAACAAGCCGCCCCCCCGGCGTTTGCCATCGGGGTTGGGCTTTCGTCACTTGTCAGCGATGTTGTACAACAAGCCGATCACTTGGTGAGCTCGGCAACTAAGGGTACCGCTATTTTTTTGCGGCTACCATGAACGGTGGTCGATACATTGTGTTGTGCGGGGTGGAGAACCCTCACTCCGCACGAGGGGGATAAACGCACCTCGTAGTGTTAAATGGGTCAAGCACCCTACTTGGTAGGCAGTTACACAGTGCTTACAACTGTCTCTGGAAATGAAAGCACGCCAGAAAAAAAATCAAGTCACACGCAGCTGTCATGAGTAGGCAAGGAAGTAAGCACAGGATGCCGAACACCCTCAGCAGGAAGCAGCGCACCCTTGATGCGACTCGCCGAATACCTCACGGCGCTTCGCGCTTCGTAATATTTGTTTTTGGTCCGGTGAGAACCCGGCGTGCTCCGCCCCGGCTTTGTAGGGATGCGAGGACAATGGTTTAACGACTACGGCATGCTCGACTATGAGTTACACCCTCCCCCACCCGGATGCCATAGCGCTTAGACCCGACTCCTAGGGTGAGATCCTCGCGGCATTCGAGTCCCGGCAATTTTGGCGGTCGCAACAGACCTTGTTCGTAGTGCGGAGAGTTGATTTGTTGTTGACTTCCTGAATTGCGCCTGGCTCGTTGGCATCAAGTTAAGCTGCGGCGGCAACTCCAATTCATGACAGCTTCCTGAAGAACGCACATGGAACACACATGGATGCAGATTCTCGACTACCTTGACATGACCCGAATTCAGAGTGCTACAATAGCATACTCAAGCTACTACCCCCTAGCCCCACGCCTGCGTCGCATCTGCAGGAAGACGACCTTCGCCGATCTTGTGAAGAAGCTCTACGGCACCACTGGCATGTGCAGGAAGGGTCGCAGAGGACCGCCGTTCGACCCGTGCGAGCGTGTAGCCGTGTTCATGTGGCGGCTGGGTGGAGACTCCACGGTCAGGCAGACCGCCCTTCAGTTTGACCTGTCCGAGGGGACGGTATCTCGGATGACCCTGGAGGTGGCAAGAAGGGTCGACAAGTATCTTCGCGATGGATGCGTCTGGTGGCCTAGCCCGGGAGAGCAGCGGGAGATGTCTGCAGCATGGGAGCTCGAGAACCATCTCAGGTGGGTTTGTGTTCGTATTTTTCTCGATTTGGCCGCGCCCATTGTCGAGACTTCAATAGTCCCAAGGTCGACCAAGTTTGACTTCAGCACTGGTAGACGGAGACGGACATGTTTATCGCCGACTCCAGCATGCACGAACGACCACTCCTTACGGACGGACACTTCGGGCTCGTGGAGTTCGCCCAAGCTCCATGCATAAGTGTACAACATTGTCAACCTGTGGGTACTCCCATCCTGAGCTCTGCGACCTACACCATCCGACGACACACATGAAATTTCAACAAATCATGCCGACTACCAAGTGCGCACACGCTACAATCTTCTACCGACCCGCGTAGTGTCGATCACCTGTGCGATAGTTAGATGTCGGTGGTGAGTACGCCCGGAATGCCTGCGTCTCACTCAATGGAGAATAATCCCAATCTCTTTATGTACCCACGAGCCATGTAACTGGGAAACAAATCCGCGGGCTAGCTTGTCTAAGACGCAACAAGGACCATGCCGAATACCACGTCTATACTCCGCTGTAGACCTTGATCGAATGCAACAGATGAACAGGTGGTTTAGATCAATGGACACCCGCGTTTATCTCACGCTCCTGCTAAGCTCGTACATCCCACACCTCGTCCCACAATCCTGCGCTGTTTTCCAAACGTAGGGGTGTGATCGGAGCCATCTGCGGGAGTCACATCAAGATCCTGGCGCCACCAGACTCGCTCCAGACCTCGTACTACAACTACAAGCACTTCTACTCCATTTCGCTACTCGCAATCGTGGACAACGAGGGCATGTTCCGCTGGTTTTGCTCCGAAGCACCAGGCGCGTGCGCTGACAGCGGGGTCTTGACGGACACCGCATTCTACGAGATGGCACAGGAGGACCAGGCCCAGCCAGTCAACAGCAGACGGCTGTTCGCCAACGGCGCGTGCATCCTGGGGGACTCCGCATTCGCTGAGTCTCCATGGATGCGCACGCCGATCGGGAAACCCAACAACAGGGCGGAACGATTTTTCAACTACAAGCATTCGAGCGTGCACTCCCGCGTAGGGCATGCTGTGGGACGCCTGAAGAAGAAGTTCCGTGCTCTTCTCAATGGTTTGGACTGCCACCTCGACCACTGCCCAACGATCGTCAACGCGTGTGTCATCCTCCACAACTTCATCTTCATGCGCGAAGGCGAATCGCCTGCCGACCACGGAGTCGACAATGCCCCGACGAGGAACGGCACTGGACGCGCTCTCTCGCAGGGTGCCGGCCCCCTTGATTCTGAGAGGGCCAGGATGGTCGACTACCTCCGCCGCAATTTCCTGCGGAGGGAGTGGGGAGCTCCGGGCTCGCGAAGGGACCAACAACGCTTACGAGACGAGAGGCTTCCGAGGAGGAACAACGGCACAGCGCGTTGATACACTGAGACTACTCGCGGGGTTATTATAATCTGTAATGTCTAGCCGTGTGTTTTTGCCTTAAGTTTTCCTTAGCTAGAGGTTGGCTACGGGGACAGGGGACAGGGCGCCTGTGTATCACTTCTTGTATGGCATGCCAGTGGTCTATGCATATGTGTTAACGTTGTGTCGAGGCGCCCTAGCAAGTGTTTGGGCATTTAGAGGACAGGAGGTATAGTGATATGGAGTAGAATGGGCAAGCTTGGGGCTAGTCGTGCAATAGCGTGGTGTTTCCACTTAACCTTAGCATCAAACGTTGCGAGTCGGTTGAATGGTTGCACAATTAGGGTGTTCATCAGGTAGGCTTGCAACGTTGTAACGGAGACCCAAGAATGTCCAAATAGAAAATAATCCTTTTGACTACAGTGGCCGAGTGGGCGTCAATTATTCGATGCATACGGTGGGCTTATGTCATGACGTTTTGCACCCCTGCAGAACCCCTACTGTATGTGTGTCGACACAACGGGACAGGAAAACGTGCGTATGTATTACGTTGTAGGAGGGGCACCCCGAAGGCCGCACAGTAACAAGTGGATTGATAAGGTGAACGGCGAGGAAAATATCAAAATATTGAACTAGAATCGCAACATTGAGTCGAAGTCAACGGACGCAGCTCCAGGATGTCTCGTGTTCCTGGACGCGAAACAAAACTTCAAAACCCGAGCCCTCGAGCGTGGGCGCGCATCGCAGTCCGCACCTGGAGAAATAAAACGCCCTGTCGTCTTGACATTGCAACTAGTAGCCGTCACAAACAATGATCCACGAACCAAACATCCTACAAGTACGCCAACGCCGCACATGGTAACAGGTGAAGCACCCTCCGAAAACCCAGTCCTCGTTTACTATCCCTAGTGAGTGGCAACCGACCAAGAGGAATCGCAACTAAAAAAAAAGAGATCCGCAAGCCAATAGAAGTCAACGACAGATAGTCTAGGCCACTCCGCTCGCCTCTACATTCCATGCGAGACAACCCTATAGACTATCGGAGAAAGAAACAGAAACAGGAAAAGAAACCGGAAAAAGGAAAAGGAAAAAGAAGAAGAAAAAGCAGTGCACGCGAAAAAGAAAATAGTGAAGTATATAGACTAACCCGCGCACGCCTTGCCGCTCACGAGGAAACCTTAGCTCAACAGACCTGCGCTTAAACCTGCGCCCCCCCCCCCCCCGCTCCTCCGAACCCCTAGAATACCGAAGGTAATACATGTCCTCCGGCACACACTTACTTAGATACCGGGAAAAAAAAGAAGAAAAAACAAATATGTGGGCAAAAAAAGAACCTCGGACCTACGACGTACAGTACCATGCGCACCCTCCCCTCAAGGTAAGCAACCCTCCCGCCAACGCTCTCATGGACACACCGACACCAGCCCACACCCCCGCCAAACATCATACTCCCAACCCCCGTGACAATGGCAAACACCGTAACCCCCTCCAAATTTGTTCGTCCGTTGACTCCCCGCTCCTTCCCTATGCCCGATAAGACCTTAACCCTTTACGTCTACACTCGGCGCCAATGTCTAAAAGAAAATGCAACAGCATTTCCATCGCTAGTACTCCAACTGCTACGCCTGCCCCTACTGATTAAGGCACATAATAAACAATCAGGCACCATCCCCTAACCTTGCTCTCGACGAGGAACACATCCACCAACCCACGCTTCCTGGCACGCGAAAGCAGCACGACATAGTCAGACCAACACCAAGGACAGGCAGACATCACCCATCGTCGACTCCGGAGATCAAGGCCTCCTGCCGGGCAACGGCTTCTTGGTATAGCTTGTTCTTGTTTTTTACTGCGGCCTGACTGCCGTACCCTTCCTTTGCGGCCAAAATCGAGTCTTGCAAACTGTTTCTGAGCAGGGAAACTGATTTCTCCGAAGTCTCCATCTTCCCATGATCCACGCCAGACGCACCACCGGCACTATCGGCGGCGCCTGACCCGTCCTTCTGCCCACGCCCGCCGAGGGTCATTCCTACACCTTGTAGCATGGTGGCCGTGAACGCTTTGTCACGTTCGTCTCTCTCCTTCCTTGCCTCGAGCTGGAAACTTTTCGGATCGAACTTCTCGGATTTCCTGCGGCGACCCTTACGCTTTACTTCCACCACGTCTGGTGAGCTGTCGTCAGCCACGTCTTCCAAGTCGCCGTCAGACATACCGCCCTCTCCACCAGCCCCCCCTCGGCTGCGCAGTTCCTCTTTGTCCTCCGATTCCGAGGGGGCCCAGTCATCTCCGCCTACGTCCATCGGGGGATCCTCCTGGTTATCCTCCTCCATCGCCACCGGTGCTGCCTTCCGACGACTTTTCTTTTTTCCCCCGCCGCTGCCTTCCCCCGCCGCGTCGTCGCCACCGGGCGCTTGGGATTCCCCGCTCGTGTCGCGACCTCCGCCGTTAGCTCTAGCCATCTTGCGCCGTTTTCCCTTCCCCTTTCCCCCACCCTGACCACTGCTGGCGCCACCACCCGAGGCACCAGCCGCACCACCGGCATCTGCAGGCGCAACCTTAGGGCGCTTCCCGTTCTCAACATTGACAACCTCCCGCATAAACTTCCGCTTGTTCGCAGCAGCGTTGCCGGAGAAGATGTGGGCCCTCAGCTGCTGGAATTTGTTAGGAGACCTCTGAATCCGGCCTCCTTCCGAGCCCGTGCCTTTCTTCTTCATGGCTGCGGTGTAATTCCCCTTCTGCGCGACGAACCAGTCCCTGAGGTGTTGCATCTCCGCCCTCGCGAAGCGTTCTTCCAGAAGAGATCCGTGGGTCTGCATGTAAACCTTGTTCTTGGCCAGCTCGATCTTGACGTAATGCGCGACCCGAGAGTACCACTGTTCGTGGCCGTAGCCCTTGCCGCAACTGAACTCCTTCCCCTGTGAAGATATGACGTTCGGGGAAGGCGATTCCAGCACGGAACAGAGCACACAGTGCAAAAGGTTAGCCTAGGACTAAAGTCGTCAGACCATAAAAAATGGAGTCACGCGAATCATTGTGCCAATACGGACGACGTTAATCTGCTACCGCCGACAGTTCCGCCGCATATTCGAGGATCCCAGTGCCTGTTGTAGATGTTGTATGGAGACTGGACAACCCACCTGTCCCTCTTCCATATTGTTTCCCTCCAGTGTCTCTCTTTTCCTTGCTTGCTTTCATCCCTTCTTGATACAGGGGTCGATCGTATCCCTTCCAGTGTTTTTCTCGTTTGAGTAAGAAATCGCGCCTCGGATTAAGTTTGTAGACAACTCATTTTTGGTTTTTAACCCATTTATAAAAAGGTGTACGGCCCTTTGGTATAGATTGCGTGTCACCACAGAAGGCGTCCGCGGATCTTGGATCAGTGCAGACATTAGAACATACTAATGGTAACTCGGGACGTTTTCTAATTTACAGAAAAATGAAAGGGAGGGAGGGTCGTAGACATGGCATCAGGTTGCGCTCATAGACACGATCAAACTTTATCGTTGCACTGAGCCCGCAAAGCGTGCACCGAATGCGATGAGCCACCCCGAGTCCGCGACTGGGGTTCTTGCAAGTGGGCACAGGGTATTCAATGAGCTGCTACCCCTGTTATACCCGGCCAACTCCTACACCCAGTTGGTGAGGGCATGAACAGGGCCAAACTCCTGGGTCTCAACCGCGAACGAACATACCGCGTGAGAATGCCGGTTGCTGCATTTGTGCCTAACACATGTAGTACAATAGATCTGGGATGAATGTAAATGTGCCTATTCACCGCAACATTGCGTAAGACCGTTCCGGGAACGTATTCTGAGATGGCCTTAGCCCCAGGGGATACGTCAGAGGGAGTCTATTTCATCGGGAGTCGCACAGGTCGGAGAGACGGTATCGTGGAGTGAGAAGCAAGGCAAGAAAAAAATCATTCGCCTTCGATGGCACCCGGTTTTATCGTCCTTACGGCAATCGTTGAAACTCAAAAGAGCGACCCTGAAAGAAACTCACAAACCCGTTCGTAAGAACATAGCACAAGTTTTGCGTAGACGCCAGCTACCCTCTAGTGCCGAACTCACATAAATCCTGTCGCCCAAGCGCTCGAGGACAACCTGTAGGATGACCTCCTTCTCCACCGTCTCATACTTCCAGGACTCCTGCAATCCCACACCAAAGGCAGACAACGGTATAAGATTGAAATGAAGCGAGGTGCATAGTTGCGAGACAAGCGCCAGGGTGTTGTAGGCACCACTGCTGTCTTCATGACGACGTATAGCAAGGCTGGCCCCTGAAGATGAAAACCACAAACAACATGCGTGCCTTACCGACAGGACACATTTTTATTGAACAGCCGAAAGAAACATACACTACAGTTCATTGGCAATATTTTGTGTGCCGGGACAGAGGTTTTTGGAGTTTATTTACGCGCGTGAAGCCCGCTAACAAACGTTTGAAACCCATTCATCCGCGGGCCGCAAGCTTTCAAAATGTTTCACCTCTATGAATAAATGAAGGAAAGGAGGCACCAGAGCAGATGTTTCGTCACCGCGGCAGGAAATAAATCACCTTGCAAATATACTGCCATGCGGGTTGTCAAGATACCAGCGCCTTGGGATTGGTGATGGATGGTGGTTGTCTTGGGGCGTTTATTTCAAAGAACCTACAGATAGAGTCAAGAGAGCGAAAAACAACGCAGAGGCGCCAGAACATTGTCATCAGATTACTTGAAGTGGCCTGGCGACAGGACGGGCGTGCACGCGATAGAGCATGCGCAGATCCCTGGCAGTGGTGTCCTGCAGTAGCCCGACACAAGTAATCGAGTGTGCGTCTGTGCGCGATCTTTCTCTCCTCGCTGTAGCTCTTCTGAGTGCTTTTCTGGGTGCTCGTTATCGATACTCAGTGTGGATTGACGTTACGAAACTTCGTGCACACAGAGGCCAGAGTGGTCTCTGCTCGTTCTATCCTGCTGTGGGCGTGGGGTATGCGCCAGTTGCAGTGCCCAGGCTCCCGCCTGACATGTGGGTCGGTCTCTGAACTGGTCGATTTCAATAATGCGGTGTGCAGAAAGATGCGGCGTAATTCCGAAAAAATATCGAAAATAGACGAGACGCCAAGTAGGCGCCAAACTATTTGGAGACAGCTGATTGGCGGACGCCATGTTAAAAATCTGTCCCGGTGTTTTTTTTTCGCAGCCAATGAAGCCCGCCGCGACGAGTGTGAAACCCATTTGTCTCGGCGGCTAAAAATGCCACCGGGGTAGAATTAACTTGGCGTCCGCCCATCAGCTGCTTCCATTTCACTTGGCGCCTGCTTGGCGTTCTTATCTGTTTTCGAGTCATTCGGCAATTAAACCGTTTTGTCTGTGCACCGCATTCGAAAACGGCCACAGTTCACAGACCAACACACGACAGCCGGGAACCCGGGAGCTGCAACTGGCGCATACCACACGCACGCCGACAGAACGATAGAACCAGCAGAGACCTCTCCGGTCTCTGTGTGTACAAAGTTTTGGAATGTTAAGCCACGATTGGTGTCAATAACGAGCACGCAGCAGTAGCAGCACCACGAAGATATACCTTGAAACCCAGCGAGGAGGGAGATCAGACACACAAGCATACACACATATAATTTCGAGTTACTACAGCACATATGCCCAAGCATCATCATCATCACGTTACTTGAAGTGGTCTGGCGAGAGGACCGGGCGTGCAGACGATATTGAATAGCTTGGATCCTTGGTTGTGGGTAAATGGTCTCCCTCCTCGCTGTGTTTCAATATTTTTCTTCTTCGTGCTGCTGCTGCTCGCTCGTTATCGACGCCGAGTGTGGGTTGGCGTTGCGAGACTTGATACACAGAGATACCGGTGTGGTCTCTGCGAGTTCTATCCTGCTGTGGGCGTGCGTGTGGTATGCACCTTTTGCAGTTCGCAGGCTCCCAGCTGATGTGTGTTGGTCTATGAACTGGTTTGTTCGAATGCGGCGCCCAGAGAAAAGCGGCGTGTTTTTCAAAAATTACCGGAACATAGACAAGACGCAAAGTAGGTGCCAAGTGAACTGGAGACAGCTGATTGGCGGACGCCAAGATACATCTGTCCCGGTGGCGATTTTTGCTGCCAGCTGGACAACCAGGTCACCGTATGTTCTTCCTTTGGTTGTTTGTTGCGGTAGCCATAATGGTGGTCGAGTGTGTAGATAATGATGTGCGGCATCGGGAACACTCACTCCGTGCAAAGGGGATGATCGCACCACGTTGTGTTGAAATGGTCAATCCCCCTCGAGGCAATGACACAGTGCCTATGACTGTCTCCGTAAGTGGAAGTACCAGAAAATAACCCAAAGTCATTCGCAGCTGTCATGCGTTGCAACGAAGCAAGCACAAGACGCCGAACACCCTTAGTAAGATGCAGCGCACCCTCCATGCGACTCGCCGAATATCTCACGGTGCTTCGCGCTTGGTGATGTGAGAGCCTGGTTCGGTGTGAACCCGGCGCGCTCCTTCCCGGCTGTGTGAGGACGCGAGGCTATTGGTCTAACGACTACGGCATGCGCGAATATGAGCACACCCATCCCCGACGACAAAGACCAACTCTTAGGACGGGGGCGAACATCTCATTCCCGGGTCAGTTCTCGCAACGATATCAACCGCATCGAAGGCGGCCTCCAGCGCAAAAGCCACCTGGCTACCGAAGCCGGACGTGAACAGCGTCACGTGCCTGGCGTTATCGGATCCCCCTTGACAGAGTCGAAGATTCTCCTGTAGGGGAAAGGGGAGAACAAACACGAGGGGGACCACAAGGGGGACGCGTGTGGTAGAGGGTTTGGGAATCGTTGTTGGAAGGCGACTCCCTCTCCTTTCCGGTGCCGCCGCCGTGTGTTTCGATTCACAGCCGCCCTCATCCTCATGCCAGCTTCCTCTGGTAACGTATGCCATAGCACGGTTTTTCGTATACAAGTCGTCCAGTGAACGGCCGTTGGGGAAATTTGGACGCTCTCAAGACAGCCCCTTTCGTGTCCCCCCCCCCACCCTCTCTCTGGCACTCTCTGTATATATGCCTCTCAATGTCTCTCTCACCTCCGCTGCCGCCACGGCCGCCGCGTCCTCGAAACCAGCAATAGGATGACCAACACTTGGTGTGATCGACACCAACACCGAAAACAGGAACTGACAACAGAAACAGCGCATACAAGAACGACAACAGGAGGATTTTGAGCTATATCCGATGGCTGCATCCTGGGTGGGGAAGCTGAGTCGTAAAGCGATGACGGTGTGGTGGCACGCATGCGCCCCAGGAGCATCTAGCCCCCCGTAACGATGCCGACATCTTTCACAGTCTCCAGTCCGGCCACCACAGCCAAGTGAATCATCACCGGAACAGCAAGGACATCAATGTTGAGGTTAATCCGCGCACCAGCCGGCGTGGGGAGGGTAGTCGGCTGAAAATGTCGGTGCGAAACAATTGATTAGCAAACCAGAGCCCTTGCCTCGATTTCCTTTTCCCGCTTGCGCGGCAAGGTCTTGAATATTTACTGTGAGGATATGCTGTTCAATTAGCGACAGAACGGCGGTGGGCCTTGTTTTGTCCTGACATGCTAAAACGGTGCCGGCTTTTTGAGCCGCCCCCCTGCTCAGATCCCTTGCTTGACGGGGAAAATTGAAGCATCTCAACTTGGGCATCTCGGTAACCTAACCGGGCACCACACAGGAGTAACGGCGCATCTACATAAATAAGCTCGTGCAGCATTCAGAATGGGGTTCCGAGCCAGCAGGCTTTGTATTCGCGCCTACCCTCTCCCTCTCTGTCTCTAGTGAGTCACAAACGGTGAATCGGTGTCGCTGTGTCGCTCGCCGCTCGCGGTGCGCCAATGCGGGGTGTCTTCTGTTCCCGCTCGGGAGAACCAGTTGGGTGCCCCCCCCCCTCCTAGATCTCAGTCGAAGGGCCTCTCAGCCCCTTGTTCAGCCGCTTGCCAGGCGCCTGTGTTGTGCTCCCCACCGACTGCTCTAGCTGTTGCACCAACGCACACTCGTCCTCGTCTTGACCCATAGACAAGCAGTGAAAACAAGAGGAGACATGTCGTCTGGCCGAAAAGACAAGCGGTGGCTCAAGTCGGTAGCCGACCCTGACTTAGTGAGCTTCTTCGAAGACTCTCAGTTCGATGCCGGAGAGTACGCCAAGGGCTTCTTCGAGCAACGCGAGGCTAGTCACGCGGCACACAGGTGTGGCGAGAGAGAGAGAGAGAAAGAGTGCGGGGGAGGTGTAGACGTAGGCATTGCACAGTGGCAGCAATAGGCCAGCTGTCGTCGCTGAGATACATTGCGCACGGTGGATACACCCACAGCACGGAGAATCTCTTCCTGTGCAACGTAGCTACTGGGGTAGAGATTCTTTTTACATGTACTGTACTGTAGTATGGATAGAACGCAAGGCATGGCAGTTCTTGCGGTGCAACTGCTGCATGGCTCCCGTGAATATTGCACAGGTGTGGCACATCTGTTTGGCGGAGTGTAGCAGTTTTCGATTGGAAATGGAAATTGCGGATGGAGAAAGATAAATCAATGTTGGGACACATTCTTCAGTTATACCCGTAGATCGCGGTGCTCTTGAGCCTGCGTGCAACTGCTGTAGTCTATGAGCCTGCACCGGTGAAGTGATGCTCACTCGTGCTATGATTTCACAAGAGGGTCTGATGTCAATCGGCACAAACAAGTGCACGATACCACGCAGCAGAACCGAGCAAGTCGTTATTTGTTGTGAGGAGTGCATGTTGCTGACTCTTCGGCGCCATGGCAGCTCTGCATGCTTATATACGTGCAACCCAATCTTTGCTCTCAGATCAGTAGTTTAGGCAGGTTTATTCTTCGCAAGCAAACATACCGGATAAAGTATAGGATCGTGTAGGTTGGGGTTTAGGGTTAGGGTTCCCTTGCTTGCTCATTTTTCGAAAATATAACCTACACTGCTGTCTTCGCGTAGGCAGTCCGTAGTCTACGATTCGCACCAACAAGCACAGCTGAAAAGTTGGCACCTCCCTTTTCGCATCAATCCCTCGCCTCTGCTTGCTCCTTTTGCCCCCATCATGCTTGTTGATATCCAGGGTGGAAAAGCTGGAAGGACTCAAGCGCCAGACAGGTGAGTGTGTTTCCTTTTTGTACGTGCTGTAGGTACACTGCTGCTCGCGGCCGACGCACTCGTACCCAGCAGCAGTAGCGATGCCGTCATGTTGGCACTGCTGTGTGCAGACGCCTGTAGAGCCTAGAAACAGGAGCTATGCTGTCGGCCCTCGATCATGAAAACCCAAAGGCCGCAACAAACACGGACAGTCGCCCATGAATGCGTACAATAAATACGGCCGGTCGCCCCGTACATAGGGCGTTGAAATCGCTTGACGTGTAGCAGATAAAATACCCAAAGTTGTCTCATGATCTGGACAGCGGTGCCGAGTGCGCACTAGCTGCTGGTCAAATCCCTTGCTCTGCGCCGCCTTTAGCAGGCACCACTACCGACTGCTCTATGTGTACCTTTCTCGGCGCGCCTCTAAGGGGATTTAGTACTCCAAGCACTTGGACTTGCCACTTTTTCTCGCCCTCTCCCAAGTGAACTAACTATTTACCTGCAACATCACCTTGGTCAAATACCGCCAACATTGCGTTTGTGTATAACTGTTTATGGTATGGTATGTTCTTTGTTACGGTGTGCATCACTCATGAAACAGAACCGGCTGGCTGTAAGAGCCTGAGAGCTAAGGTTTCTCGCAGCTACCGCACCGGTTTTCTATTCAGCTGTTGTGGGGGATATTGTGCCATGGATGTACCGAAATCCCAGCCGTGTTGTGACGAAGAACACTGTACCAGGCACAGCGAGATCATCGACATTTTGTGCTGTCGCTGCCTCTCTCGTGCCCATTTATAGTTTGAAAAGAGGGCTAATAGCAAGTCGGCTTTGAGGGGTAAGATTACCCGCAACTGGAAGGCTCTTTTGCACGCCTTTTGCCACTTGGCGAGAATCCCTGCTGTGTTGCGGCAAAGAACATCAGGCGAAGCGCGATCATCGACACTTGTGTTGTGGTGGTTGTTGTTGTTGTTTGCCTCTTTCGTAAACCGAGTCGGCTTTGAGGGTCGAATTTTTCCGCAGCTACCAGGCGTTTCTGCACGCCTGGTGCCATGTGGCGAAAACCCCTGCTGTTGCGAAAATGATAAACAGGCAAGGCGCGATCGTACACCTGTGTTGCCGCCGCTTTCGTAAACAGAGTCGGCTTTGAGGGCCGAAGTTGTCCGCAACTACCAGGCGTTCATGCACGCCACGGAGGAGATCCGCAGCATGGAAGCCGGCCTCCAGACGCTGAAAGACCTCCTGGGATCTACCGCCGTAACCTTGCAGGTATTGCATGTAGAACAGACACGTGTTTCTGGTTTTGGTCTTGTTGTCGCTGTGCTGTCGATACGTGTTTGCTGATCCGCAGCATGGAAATCGACCTCCAGACGCTGAACCACCTTCTGGGATCTGCCGCCATAGCCTTGCGCGTGCAGCCGTAGGCCCAATATTCGGCGGGTATGCGCCAGACCGGTTCACCCGCCCTATTCAGTGCACCCGCCTTATTCAATATGTAGAACGACTTGATTATTCCGTACGTGCCGGTCAATTTTGCCCGCCTGACATTGTTCGTGGTGCGTTGTCGTTCCATCTGCCGCAATGTCTGCTGCTGTTGTTGTTCTTGCTGTGTTATCGTCGTTTATGCCGTAGGTCTTCATGTCGATCTTGATCTGTCGTTGTTAACAGCTGTTGTTGTGATTGCTGCTGTTGTTGTTGCTATACCCTGGTAGCTGCTGCTGTTGCTGCCGCTGCTCTCTGCCACTGTTGCTGAGCGTCTCTGCCGGATGTGGCGAACACAAGTGCGAGATAGTTCGCCGGCAGTAGCCCAGGTTTTTGCGCAGTTTTTTTTTGTCAATGGGCAAGGCGACCGGATGACAAACCCCTCAAACGCAAGCCTATGCTTGTATCAGGCTACGTCTGTGTTCCTGCTCTTACACCGCAGTGCCAATGCCATGGACCGTTGGCCCTCAGTTGGGCACGGAATTTTGGTACCTACGTTTTTCTTCTTTTTTTTGTCTTCATCTTGCGAAAGAGTACAAGTATCGAATGCGAACGTTGGCTTTCACACTTCGCTTGTGTTGACGACAACTGGTGCAGCCCTGCCGTGTTGCCGCTTGAGATGCATGAATGTCACAGCTCCATGTCGACATGAAATTTACCAATGAACGAATGGCTGGGACGTCTTGCAAGACACCAAACTGAAGCACAAAAAACAATAATATGGATACGAAAATCTCATGCAGTATTTCGGTACACATACGCACACCAACCGGCCTACATACGTCCCACCACTTGCCGTGCTGTTGTGCGGCGTTTCAGTCGTTTCGAGGTGTTCACCTGGTTGAAACCGTTAAACCGGCGGAAAAAACGCCGGCGGCACGATCGAACTCCCGTGCGGTGGCGGCGGCGGCGGCGGCCAGCCCAGAGGAGGACGATGAAGACGTGAGCGTGAATACCGCGCGTGTAGTAAGCACTTGGCTTTCCGCAGGCTGTGTCTTGGTTTTATGCCAGTTGGTCTCATTCTGTGACATGTATTTGTTTCATCACCTGTGATACAGGTTGTGTATTGGTGTTCTTTGGTTCTTGTTCTTGAAGTAGGAGTATGGCCGTCTTTTTTTTTGCATCTGTTGGCTCATCTCATGTCGGCATTCTGCAGGTGATGTCTTGGTTTCTGTTGTGTTTTTTGCGTCTGTTGGCTTGGTCGTTGGCTGTCCGTTTCAGGGAGACGGACCTTCGACGTCAAGAGGACTCAAGCTGCCGGAGTGGCTGGATCAAGCACCGATAGAGGTGAGAAAAAAGTTAAAATCTCTCGCGCATGTTTTTCTTCGCTTTTTTTTTTAGTGCCCAGCAGAGTGTGCTACCTCGGTAATGTTAACCCTCGCAATCCTCCTTGCCCGAGAGCTTTGGCCCGGAACTCTGGTGCTGTGCCTGGCATATGAAATCGGGTACGATTCTGCTCCCTCTCCTGATGTGTGTACCGTGGGCATGTTTCTGTTCTCGGTTTGCTAATGGTTTCTGTAGTTGGGAAGAGCTGGAAGCCGTTCGTTGCTCGAGCTAAAGCATCTAGAAGCAGGGACACTAAACGTTTATTATTCTCTTTCTGATCACGTTTTCTGCAGTTGGAAAAGGGAAAAGCTAGCATAACGCCGAAGCTAAAGCACCAGAAAGCAACGCACGTTTCTTATTTTCTCTGTGCTGACGACTTTTTTTTTTTTTCTAGTTGGAACAGCTGTTGCGGGACCTAACGCACCAGAGGAAGCAGCGAAATTTGTGTTTTGTTTTATCACTTCAAATCAGCGCTCACAAACGAAGATTTTTTTGCGTATGGGAGGTCTCCGATCCGTGGCCACACACAACATTCCACCTTTCTGTTCTCTTTCCGATTACGAAGTTTGATGTAGTTGGAAGAGCTACGACTGGAGCGAAAGCACAAGAGGAAGCAGCGACATGCTTGTTTCTGTTCTCTTTCTGATGATGATGTTTCCTGCGGTTGGAAGAGCTGTTGCTTGGCCGAAAGCACCAGAGGAAGCAGCGACATGCTTGTTTCTGTTCTCTTTCTGATGACGATGTTTCCTGCGGTAGGAAGAGCTGTTGCTTGGCCGAAAGCACCAGAGGAAGCAGCGACATGCTTGTTTCTGTTCTCTTTCTGATGATGATGTTTCCTGCGGTTGGAAGAGCTGTTGCTTGGCCGAAAGCACCAGAGGAAGCAGCGACATGCTTGTTTCTGTTCTCTCTCTGATGATGATGTTTCCTGCGGTTGGAAGAGCTGTTGCTTGGCCGAAAGCACCAGAGGAAGCAGCGACTGGTTTTGCTTTTTTTTCCCGTAGTTTTTTCAGCGCTCACACGCACAACATTTCTTCCATCTAGGGTCTCCCGAACCCGTGGTCAAACAGAACATTGCACGTGTCTTAAGTCTCGCTGATGTTTTCGTTCTTGGCAGTTTGGAAGAGCTGTTGGTGGAGGGAATGCACCAGAGGAAGCAGTGACATTGCACGTTTCTTATCTCTCTCTCTGATGTTTTTCGTTCTTTGCAGTTGGAGGAGCTGCTGCTGGAGCGAAAACACCAGGAAGCGGCCACCTTGATCCGGAGGGTCCGAGATTTCTCAGCGAACCTTCAGAACGCGACCAACTTGGGGCGTGGGGTGGAGAGAATCTTCCAGAAGGTCGAGACGATGGCTGCGGGGATGGCGGAGCGCCTGCTGGCCGAGATTTCGGCGGCGAACACGCTGACGGTGAGAGCGAAGGTTTCGGGTAGGGGTCTATGTTGTTGTTGTTCCGGCTCTGCTTGCTGCTGTTGCTCTGTTGTTGGGGTCACTGTTGTTGCCGCCGCTGCTGCTGCGGTCGTGCCGTTGTTGCTGCGGTGTCGTGGGTCGTGCTGTTTTTGTTGTTGCTGCGCTGTGGGCGGTGGTGGTGTTGATGATGTTCCTGCTGACGTCGTTCTGACGGAAGGTCTCGGGAAGGGTCGATGTTTTTGTTGTGCTTGTTGCTGTTGCGGTTGCCGCGCTGCAGCCTCTGGTAGTCGTTCATACATGCGCACAGTATCCTGAAAAAGCAATTGCCCCGCGTGCATGAATTAGTTACGGTTACATTCGCCAACACTACCCAGCAATGCATCCCTGAACAGAAAAAAGCCACGCTTTCGGCATACCACTCATTACGGTTACATTGTCAAACCAAAAACACAGGTGTGGGGGTTCCGTGAGCACAAGAGCAACTTCGCCCTCCTCATCTCCCTGGGCGAGAGCGAGAAGGCGGCCATCTTCTTCGTCGGGGAGAGAAGCGCCATGATCAGGCGTTCCCTCAGGCTGGTGGAGGTTACCGCGGACCCCCTCTCTTACGTGGGGGTCCTATCGGAGACGTTCTTCGGACAGGTACAAGAAGAAAATAACTTTGTTGGGATTGGTATATAAGAAGCGCTGTTCGGATAGGAATAAGAAGGTTCTTCGGGCATTTGCTTTGAACGAACTTTCTCGGGCAAGGTATGAGAAACGTTCTTCGGACAGGTATAAGAAAAGAACGTTGTTCGGATTGGTATAGGAAGCCTTGTTGGGATAGGAATAAGAAAGGTTCTTCGGACATTTGCTTGAAAGAACTTTATCGTGCCAGGTATGAGAAACGTTCTTCGGATAGGTATAACAAACGAAGGATAGGCACGAGAAACGCGCCATGGTCAGGCGTAGGCTTGTAGAGGTTACCGCGGACCCCATTTCTCACGTGAGGGTCCCATCGGAAACGTTCTTCGGACAAGTACGGCTTGTGCAGCCTACGGTATGCGTGGCATGTTCCTGTGGCACTCGCTAGCGTTGAGGCGAGGCGTTGTTCCGGCGTGTGTGGGTGTTTCTTAAATTGGTCGCATCGACCGCGCTAATAGCTGGCTGACCAATGGAAATGCGCTAAGTACGAACACACTGCGGAGCTATCGAGCTCCCAGAGTGTGTCTTTCTTATTAGCGTCGACCGTGCTAACAGGCTGACCAATGAAAAGACGTCAGTCTCAGCGTGGTATAAAAACACAATGTTGCTTCTATAGGCCACGATTCGGGACCCTGTCACCGAGCGTCATGGGGGCGGTCTACGCTACTCTCCGCAATAAAGACAGATGCCGTAGCAATAACAGAAGAAATCCGCACGTGTGTGTGTGTGTGTGTGTGTATGTGTGTGTGTGTGAGTGTTTCTGTGTGTGTGTGTGTGTGTGTGTGTTTGTGTGTTTGTGTATGTGTGTGTGTTTGTGTGTGTTATTTTTTATTGTATCGACCGCGCTAACGGGCTGACCATGAAAAAACTCGTCAGTTGCCAGCCTGTTGGTGTGCTTGCGCCTGTGTCCGTTTTAAACACTAGTTTGCCCCCACACCCTACTGTCGTCGTGTTCATACCTGTGTGTGTGTCCCTGTCGCACATTATTTTCGCCCCCCACACCACCGCTTGTTGTCGGAAAGGCTTTGGACGCGGTGTTGCCAGGATTCACGAGCGGAGGTCAGCCAAACAGGGTGCCCAATGAACATACGCCAGTCTCGTATCTACTGTAATATCAAGCACGAACACACGTTAGCGAGCCCACAGGGTGTGTGCGTGTTTAGTTTTTGTTTCACTAGCATCGAACGCGCTGGCCGAATGACCAACGACAATCGTCAACCGTCAGCTGTCTATTCGTCCCCCTTCAACGTTTTTTTTCCCTCCCACACCGTCTGTTGTCGGGAAGGTGTTGGACGCGGTGTCGGCGTTCCTGAAACTGTTCTGCAAGTCCGCGAGGATCCACGAGCGAAGATCCATCAAGACCGGAAAGTCTACCGCCTACTACCAGGTGAAGGCAAAAGCCGGGGGAGCGGCCTAGCGACCTAGCTAGCGTGATAGAGCTTTCCAACAGCAACGTCATTTCGGCTTAGGAGCACGCGAAGAGATGGCACCACACTGAAGCACAGTGACGGTAGAGCATTCAAACAGGATGTTTTGCCCACCAGATAATGACACAGCTAGAGAGCAGTCGAGCGGCCTTACCTTTTGGCGAAGGAACGCCATTTCGGCTTTGAGAGCAAGCGAAGACATGACGTCGCATAGAGGCACGAAGTATCTACATGTAGCGCTGCTGACTGCCGTGCCAACCGCCATCGCTCAGGCCTAACGCTAAGCTTCACGCTAAGCCTGGCGCTGAGCCTCACGCTAAGCCTGGCGCTGAGCCTCACGCTAAGCCTGGCGCTAAGCCTCACGCTGAGCCCAACGCCATGCCTAGCGCGAAGCCTAACGCCAAGCCTGACGCTAACACCTTCGACGATGTTGAGGCTATCCCTAGCAGAACGCTAGCGCTAACCGTAGCATGCCGCTAGCGCTGGTAATTCTAGCGCTACCCCTAGCGCACCGCTAGCTCTATCGCTAAGTTTGCACTAGCGCCGAGATTAAGGCAAACGCTCCCGCTCCGGCTAGCGCTAACGCTAAGCCTAGCGCTGAGGCTTTTGCTTCGGCTAACACCGACACTTTTGCTTGCGCTAACGTGAAGCCTAACGCCATCATCGACGTGAAGGCTAACCCTCACGTAACGCTAAGGCTAACGCTAACGCTAACGCTAACTCTACCGCTGATGCCGACAGGTGTATCAAGGGGTTAAGGACTGCGGGACGGCTCCCTTCTGCAGGCTGGTGGTGTGGGTCAACCAGCAGATCGACCAATACGCGGTGCTCATGGGAAGGCAGATCAGGGCGATCACGATGGGTCCTCAGGTGGGGCTTCAATTCTCGGCCATCGGAACGTGCTCTTCGGTATCCTTTTTTTTTTTTTTCACCTTTAATCATCGCTCACAGCGTGTCTGCCCGGTAGGAACTCCGACCCGTGGTAAAGCATGTACAGAACGCGCCCGCGCGCTTAAGAATTCCAGAGATTGAGCCTTAAGAACATTGATTTAACTTGAGCACCAATTTGTGGTCTCGTAAATGTATCGGGCTCTTTCCGCACCTGCTTGGTTTTGGAGCAATCGATCTTTGAAAGTCGGTCTAGGGGGGCTGCAATCTCTCCGCCTCCTACGGTATACGGTATTCGGTACGGTACAGCTAGCACTCGCGCTTGAGAAACATCATTGGGGTCGAGGCTTTAATTTCTTAGTTCGTCACCACCGTCGAGCATAGATCATGACATATTATATAGAGTTATGTGTAGGATCCACGGCTGAGGTGTGTCTCGTAGTCGTTTTTCTCATTTATTTGCCAAAGTCTGAGCCTTTGTTTCTTACTGTTTCTTACAAGGTGTGTTTCTGGGTCGCCGTTGCTAACTGTATACCTAGTACCGTACTGCTAACGTTGGTCTATTTCTCCCACGGCTACCCGCTGGCAACCCGAATGGGAGCATAAGAAACACACTTGGTACGCCAGTACTTCGTATTACCAACTGACCCCGCCCACCCACTCTGACACGAACGATTTGACGGAACGCTTCGACGACGGAACGCTTCATCGACGGAACGCTATGGCGGAACGTGTGGCGGAACGCTGTGACGGAACGCTACGACGGGACACTATGATGGAACACTAACGACGGAACGCTTTGGCGGTTCGTTTCGACGACGGAACGCTTCGGAACGCTACGGCGGATCGTGTGGCGGAACACTGCGACGGAACGCTTGGACGACGGAACACCGCCGCAGAGAATCACGCGGGAGCAATCGAGCAAGAAAAGCGGGGCGGCGGCTTCCAGCGGCGAAGACGCGGGGTTCAGACTGGGGCCGGTGGCGTCCAGCTTATTCAGCATTGTGAGTGCATGTTGAGTCAAGGTTAGGGTTGCGTTTGTTGTGTGTGTGTATTTATTTATTTATGTGCATCGAGCGCGCTAACGCAACCGGCTGACCGCTTTACCAACGTCATTTTCATTGCTGAAAACCCCCCAGCAAGCACCGCCTCTATTAGTGTGTGTGTGACCGACTACTGACCAATGGAAATTCTTTACTGACGACTGAGGCAATACATGAGCACCCCTGTTAGGTAAACTGAGCGCTAGATACGGATCTACGGAGATCTAGGGGGGGAGGAAGCCGTGATCGTTCTGGAGAGGCGAAAGTGAAGGTGATGATGGCGGGCATATGAAAATCTGGTTGTACGGCGATGATTCTGCTCCGTCTTGCTCTTCTCCC